CCGGCGCGTGGGTCAGAGAGTGGGGGGGGGGTCGGCAGAGAGGGCCTCTCTCGGTGGGTCACTCGGTGGGGCCGCGCTCAGGGAGCTACTTCCAACGTCATGGTTAAGGTCGCTAAGCGAAGGAAGCATGCGGCCGCCGCCGCGGCCCCCAGCAAAGCTCCGGTCCCCGCCGCCGCCGCCGTCGCCGCCGCTTCCGTGCGGAGCAACCCCTTTGAGGTGAAGGTGAACAGGCAGAAGTTCCACATCTTAGGCAGGAAAACGAAGCACGATGTAGGGTTGCCAGGAGTTATGCGCTCTAAAGCGCACAAGAAGGTGAGTGACTGGAGGGGGGGGGAGGTAATCTGGGTACCTTTTATCCGAGCGTGTATAAACTGCTTTCCCAAAAATATAATGTACCCTTTAGTTGCACTCCGATTCATGAACGGTGGTGGCGATAGTGTGCCTCTTCTGGATAAGTCAACTCCATCCGTCTCGGCTTTTCTTTCACTCTAAAATCAAATGTCTAATCCTTGTAAAAACCAGCGTATGAGACAAGAAAGACATGTCTCCACTACTCTCTTATTTTTCTAAACATCTGACCTGTTTTAGCAGTGTTTTTAGCCTGTCTCTAGATCACTGAAATGATTGACACGCATTCTCTTTAATGAATTGTCTCAGAAAAGGGTTTGAGCCAATATACATTTCTCTTACCAGTAGCACGGCTACTTTTGTTTTCTGTTGTGAATGTACCTAAAATGGAACTTGGCAGAACTGAAGAGAACCTAAGAAAATGTGACTTTTGCATCTACAGAGTTCATTGCAACTGTAGGGAACAGACAATTTCCCACTTATGCCAGTGTGTTCTCTGCCTCTCAACATATCCTATGGGGGATTTGATGCTGGCTTACTGGCTGCTCTTGATGTTGCCTGTTATTGGGCAAAAATTATGTGATATATTTATTAATTGCTTCTTTTATTCATCCTGCTTCTAATACAAAGAAGACTGAAGCCTTTTTTGTGTTGCCTAAACAGTAGAGTCTAGGAGTGGAATATGAGCAGATATAAAGCCATGCTTATGGGCAGTTACAAGAGGCAGAGTGGTGTACAGTGGTGCCCCGCTTGACTACGATAATGCATTCCGTTCAAATCACTGTTAAGCGAAATCATCGACAAATGAAAAAAACTCCATTGGAATGCATTGAAAACTGGTCAATGCATTCCAATGGGGGAAATACCTGATCGTCCAGCGAAGATCATCCATAGGGCGGCCATTTTGGGATCCCTGTCTTGCGAACAATCAGTCTGGAAAACAGTGGGGAACCATTTTGCGAACCACTGATCAGCTGTTTCTAATCGTCGTCTAGTGAAAAAACGGTTCCTGAAGCAGGGAACTATTCATCGTAAAGCGAAAAAAACCCATAGAAACATCATTTAAAGTCGTCGTCAAGTGGGGCACCACTGTAGTAGTGGATAGAATGTTAGTATGACTCTGGACACCTGTTTTCAAGCCCCTGCTCAGCCCTGGAAATTTGCTGGGGGTAACACTGGTAAAACCACTTCTTGCATCTTGATAACACATTGCAGCAAGAAAAGGACAATTACAGAGATTTAAAGTAACTAGGAAAGAATTAAGGGACGTGGTGGCACTGCGGGTTAAACCGCAGAAGCCTCTGTGCTGTAAGGTCTATAGATCTGCAGCTGTAAGACCGAATCCACGTGACGGAGTGAGCACCCGTTGCTTGTCCCAGCTCCTGCCAGTCTAGCGGTTCGAAAGCATGCAAATGCTAGTAGATTAATAGGGACCACCTCGGTGGGAAGGCAACAGCGTTCCATGTCTAAGTCGCACTGGCCATGTGACCACGGAAGATTGTCTTCGGACAAATGCTGTCTCTATGGCTTGGAAACGGGGATGAGCACCGCTCCCTAGAGTCGAACCCAACTGGACAGATATTGTCAAGGGGAACCTTTACCTTTTAGGAAAGAATTAAAGGCTTGTGAAGGAGGTCTGAAGGAGAGTGTGCCGTCTTGCAAGACAGAGGGCAAAGTGGGAGGAATGAGACCAGAAAGTGTTGGATTGGAATCGGACCCAAGGGAGGACATGATGGAGGAGGGGATGAGAGCCGAAAGATCGGAGGAGTTTGAAATATGCTGGGTAGATAGTTGCAGCGGCAACTATCAGTGTGGGAAGAGGGTATAAGTAAGGAGGGAGAGCAACAGTTGGGGACTAGACATGTGGAGGTGGAAGAGAGAGCTGGAGAGTTTGCATGAATATGAGAGAGTGAAACACAGGAGCTGTTGAGGGACTTTCCAAAACCTGAAGCTAGGAGGTTAATTCCCAGATCTCCCAGGAAAAGAGTTGGGAGAAGTGAAATACGAAGCCTTGGAATGATCAGTGATCGTATTTCCCAGGTGAAAGGGAAGAGAACGTCAGGTGATAAGATCAGATTCAAAATTCAATAATCCTCCACAGGAGGGGATTGGACCCGGCACCCATGCTGCGGCACCAGAAAATGTCGGGTATATTCTTAAGGGCTACTATACTGTGCTTGTTTTCTGTGTTTTCTCTGTCTTAATCTTTGTTGTTGTTTTCAGTGCTCTGTGTTTGTCTAACATTTTGTTGGAGTTTGTGATACATGTTGTGATCTACGTTAAAGTGGTCAGATCTGCAAGTTTTGAAGATTTCCCCCTAGATTTAGGCATCCGCTTATAACGAGCGGAGTGAAAAATCATGTGTACATGAATGAGAAAAATGCATGATTGTGTTATATGTTGACTGCAAGGTTCCCACTAAGCTGGGTGTGCATGCACACACCCATGACTCTACTTCCCTCTGTGCAACTCTCTTCCTTCTCCACGGAATGATCAGTGCACGAGGGGGTGGAGTTGCTCACACATGCAGGGGCGAGAGAGAGAGGCAGAGTGAGGCTGAAATTTAGAGGGTACGTTCGTTGAATGTTTGAAAATTATACTCAAATACCACTATAGCTTTGACCTTATCCATCATATACTTCTTTATGCTTTGATCTTCTCCATCATATGCTTACCAAGATACTATCCAGGTAAGCTATAAAACTTGACATAGTACTTCTTATCTTTTGCCTGCTCAGACTAGTGGTAGCTTCACAGAGACAGCACCACTTGCAATACACCTTCCAATTAGATGGCAGAGTCTTGTCTTTATAAAAAAAAACGAGGCGACAAAAGCTGTATTCTGTTCTGTCCTGTCTTGGAGAGATCACTAGTGCTGTGATACCATATGCATCCTAGAAAATTATGCCTGGTACTTTTGTAATTTTCCTTGAATTTTTTAAAAACTTATTTTTAACAAAAGAACCTATTACACATACCTGACTATGATTTTTGAAACTTTTAGATACTGCACCATCCACAGCTGTATAGTGCTCAGCTTGATGAAGACCTATACAGGGTTGAAAGTTAATTTATGTTTGTGGGGAATTTTTAGTGGTCTAGTATAAGTATCACCCACTCTTGCCTTTGGGTAGATTGCAATGTATTTAGACATGCCTTTCTGACGTTCTGTTTCAGTATGATTATGCTAATCAGGTTTGTGTTCCACTTTTCAGCGTACTCAAACTTTGCTAAAAGAATACAAAGAAAAGGAAAAATCCAATGTATTTAAAGATAAACGTTTTGGTGAATATGATACCAAAATAAGTCCAGAGGAAAAAATGATGAAGAGGTTTGCCTTGGAACAACAGGTAATGTTTAAGAAAGGCACATATGTCATGGTTTCCAGCAAATGATTTTAATTGTCAAGGAAAGGCAGCAAACTTAGTTGTTTTATGTATTATTACTCTGTTGCCCAGTGAAGGGATGAGTACTTCTGCAATTTTCTGCCTCAGGTGAAAGCTTGCTTTATAGTCTACTTAGATTTTTAAGAAGGAGGGAAGATATCATTACAGTACTGCAGTGGTCCCCAACCTTTTTAACACCGTGGACCGGTTGGGGAAGGCAGGGTACCCCCCATGCTCATGCACATGCACAAGGGAGCAGGAGGCACTTGTGTGGCTGTGCGCACACTCGTGTGTATGTGTGAAGGGGTGGGGGTGCTCGCACATATGCGCAAAAGGGCTGTGCGGGGAAACTGTGTGCGGGGTGTGTGGGGGAGATCTTTCTTCATGGCCCAGTCCAGCTCAGGCCACGGACTGACACGGGCCGCAGACCAGGGTTGGGGACCCCTGATTTACTGATTTGTCTGGGGCAGATAAGTATCTTTTTCTGCTGGTCCTGTTTTCTTAGTTGACATCTGAATTCACGTTTAGGTTACATGTTTGGAAACTGAAATATATTTAGCACTGTTCCCAATATAAGTTCTGTTCAAGCAACTTTCTAGTCTCTATCTTCCTCACTAATTTGAATTTTACTTCTGTGCATATTTCCTTGGTAGTGAGTCCTGCTGAATAGGCATGGAACTTGTGTATTTTTTGGAGTATACTCCCCAGAGGTCTGCAGGAATTCCTCCAGAATTCAGGAGGGAGGGGCTTTAGCCAAAAAAATCAAAGTCCTCTTAGGTGTTTTGAATTGCTTTCATCTGAATAATACATTTTTCATCTGACACAATGAAACATGCTTAGGCAGGGCTAAGTTCTGTGGGAGCTCCAAGTCAATGAAGGTCTGGTAGTTTCCCCGCCCTATGTGCTCTGTACAGGTGCCTCTTAGGAAGCTACCAGATCTCTACTGCCTTGCAACTCCCACAGAGTTTGCCCTGCCCAGCCACTTCCTCTTTCTTCATGAATATTCATCATGTTCAATGGTGCTTTTATTCCTCAGATGTAAACAGCTTAGATCACCTGAGAGGAATTTTTGGCTAAAGCCCCCCAAATTCTGGCTGGGAGAATTCCTACAGACTTCTGGGGGCTGTCATCCAAAAAGTATTACTGTAAACCATTAAGACTCGGTTATGTTTGTTTTTACCATTATAAAATGTAAGGAACAAACCTATAGCATTAAGTACTGATTTTTCATGTCTAGACTTGTATACAGTGGAAACCCCATATCTGTGGATCAGTATCTACTGATTCCCTTTTCCATGGTCTAAAAATATTAAAAGAAAAACATCCAGAAAAATACTGTTTTCGCATTTATTACCAGAACCAGATACTAGAGCATTGATGGCAAACCTATGGCATTTGGGCCACAACTGGCACTCAGAGACCTCTCTGTGGGCACGCTAGCCATAAGTCCGCCATCGAGAAATACATACCCATCCTCCAGTCCTGGATTTTGGCACGTCCCTCTGCTGGTGCAGTGGTCCAGTGGAGGGGTACAATGGCAGCCATTACCGGTCTAACCTGATGGGGGATTGGAGGACTGGTAAGTATTTCTCTGTTAATACCGCCCCTAGGCAGGGAAAAACAAGCATTTAAATGTTGCAGTGCAGGGACAGTTGTTTTTTTCTAAACTAAAAACTCA